AAATTGCTACGATACGAAATAAGGCCAGTGGAAAGCTAAGCGCAATCGTTGCACCTGTCGAGAGTGACCTCGCGTTTACAAAGGCGAAACATATCCTATACGTATTTATTTACTATATATATATTTTTTTTATGTATTTATATATTTTATATATTTTTATTATATTTTCTATAAAATATAGGTATATCTTTTTCTAATAATATATAAAAAAATATTTTTTTGTAATTTTTATATATTATTAGAAAAAGATTTTTGTATCGTTTATATAAATGTTTTTTATACTTTTTATAAAATAGTTTCTATAAATATTTTTTTAAAAATATTTTCTATAAAATATAGGTATGTAATGATATATCTTTTTCTAATAATGTATAAAAAAATATATAATAAAAATATTCTTTTATAATATTTTAAAATATTTTTCAAAAATATTTTATAAAAAAATATTTACATAAATACAAAAATTAAAAAAAAAAAATATATATATATATATATAAACCTAATAATATACATATATAGGGAACATGTTTCTGAGAGTTGCAGAAATTATTATCATTATCATTAGGAACACATGATTATTTACAGCAACCGGGGAAGAGATGTTTTGCTCGCTCGAGAATTTTCAACGTTTGACAACGTTCTTTTTTCGTTTTTTACGTCTGAAATCTCCGTGGAGAGGCCAGCCAGCTCGTTCCTCCACCTAATGCTCCATGATCATGACGACATTAAGCACGCTCGCGAACACGTACGTGACGTGGCGCGACCGTGTAATTTACAACGTATCCCGTTGCGTTGCGCGAGCGCACATTTTCAGTTTTAATCAAAAGAGCAGCGCGCGCGGCAACGATGATAATGCGACAACGACGACATTTCCTACCGCGCACCGAAAAGTTCAACGGTGTTGGTTAACAAAGTGCACCCCCGCGTGGATTTTTTTTCCCACCCTCTATTTACGCCCACGTTTTCACGTGCCACGTGGGTGTCGTCATCCGCCGACGCGGTATCCTTTACGCAAACGTTACGTATCGCGTAACGTATTTTCGCCGTCTTCCGCCCATTAACCGGAAACCGTCTGCCCCCACTTCCGACTCTTCCACCTAACCCCTTCCCTCGATCCGCGCTCGCCATCCCCGGGTAATCTTTTGTCCGCGGACAAAAGTTCATTTCGGACTTAAACATAATTATAACTGTACATTATATTTTTTTATTGTATTATTTTATTTTATATATTATATTATATTATTTAAAAAAAAAATATATATATATATATTCTTGTCAACATGAAGCATATTTATTCTCATTAATATGAATTTTGCTTATCGACAGAATTATTAATTTTCTTATAAAATTGTATCAAATTTTTATTAATGAAATACATTTGTTCTTATTAATATATGAAACATATTTATTCTTATTAATATATTAATTCATATATGAATTTGACTTGTCGACGATATATTATGATCCTATAAAATTGGTATTAATGAAATATTGCTCTTATTAATGTGAAATATTCCTTTGCTTGTGGATATTTAATATGAAACTGTATAATGGGATCCCTTGTTAATTTTTGGGATAAATAATCGTTGTTAAACTATTTGCATTATTTTCGTGTTATATTATTCTTGTCATTATTATAAATTGATCAAATTTAGAGTAAAATTAGAGAAAATAAATGTTGCTCTTAATTGAATAAAGGAAAATCGAAGCAAATTCTTTTTTTTTTTTTTTCACCGTAACAAAACAGGAAAAATTCATCGAAAATTTAACGTTTAATTTTCCTAATTTATTTGCCTAATTTAAATGAAGTGATCAATCCTTATCAGGAAAGTTGTAGGACAGTTCAAATATTACATTTATCAAATCCCTCCGATATGAAAAATTCAACGGAGTGTATATAATGTCGCGTCGACGAAATCGATTAACGCTTATCAATGAGTAATTTCGAGAGTCAGCTGACGGAGAAGGAGGGGAGGGGAGGAAGGGGAAGGGGAGGGGAAACTCTCGCACGCGCTGTCAAAGATAAGCCCGCGCAATATGTAAGGTACGTAGCTGCTAGAGGTAATTTTCATGAAAATACGCGCGGAACCTCTTTGACCCGCCGAAACACGCGGGATACACTTTGAATGCGCGTTTCGGAGCCAACAATCGAATACTGGTACGAGGAATCGCTGGAGCGTCGAGCGGTGGTCGAGCGCGCTAGATAGCGTTCTGCCTTTCTCTCTCTCTCTCTCTCTCTATTAATCTTCGGAACTCTCTCCGAAAGTCAATAAAACTATCTTCGAATTTTACACGCTTCTCCTTCTTGATCGATAAGCAAACCGTTATCCCACGCACTAAACAAAACTCGTCGTACATATGACTTTTGTGAAGTTGAAAGTTCTGAGAATGCACTCCGAAGAGTTCCAGAGTTCCTTATTAATTTTAAAATTTTGGTGAATTAAGTTAAAAAAGATTGATGAATTTTGGGAGTACTAACTTCTGAAGTTGGCATCTTTAAAAAACTAATTTTTTAAAGTTCTGAGAATGCACTCCGAAGAGTTCCAGAGTTCCTTATTAATTTTAAAATTCTGATGAATTAAGTTAAAAAAGATTGATGAATTTTGGGAGTACTAACTTCTGAAGTTGGCATCTTTAAAAAACTAATTTTTAAAGTTCTGAGAATGCACTCCGAAGAGTTCCAGAGTTCCTTATTAATTTTAAAATTCTGATGAATTAAGTTAAAAAAGATTGATGAATTTTGGGAGTACTAACTTCTGAAGTTGGCATCTTTAAAAAACTAATTTTTTAAAGTTCTGAGAATGCACTCCGAAGAGTTCCAGAGTTCCTTATTAATTTTAAAATTCTGATGAATTAAGTTAAAAAAGATTGATGAATTTTGGGAGTACTAACTTCTGAAGTTGGCATCTTTAAAAAACTAATTTTTTATAGTTCTGAGAGTGCACCCCGGAGAATTCTAGAGTTCCTTATTAATTTTAAAATTCTGGCGAATTAAGTTAAAAAAGATTGATGAATTTCGGGAGTGCTAACTTCACGAAATGAAACCTTTAAATCAGTGGTCACATTCAAAGTATTAAAAAGGATTAATTTTGTCATTAGGATTTCTTTTAGAACTTTTGAGTGCTATCCAGAACTCGCAAACTTGAGACATGTAATTATCGTTCGCGGTAAAATGTTGAGAGCGAATGAATGTAACTTCGTATATACCGAGACTCTCTCAGTTTTACGAATATATATATATATATATCGGAGAAGGAAGAGCGTGAAATCTTAGCGAGCGTGCATCGAGTTCTACTTTGTACGATATATAAGTGCCGTCTCTGTATACGGGAAAATGTCAATAATCGTGATTTTCACTATACGTACTTTTCCTCATGCCTGAGTAAGTCGAGAAACGTATTGCACGTGGAAAAATATATATCTTCTAGATTCTAAAGACATTGACTAGCTAGATGTGTACAGATCCAACGATAAAACGAGATGATGCAATATAGAATAGAATGTAATATACATAACTATAGACTTAGTTATGTATGATTTCGTTATGTTAATTTGAACGAGCCTTTGTGTGTTTTCTCTGACAAGTAAAAATGAGGAACGATGACCTCTTCTCTCCTTCTCTCTCTTTTTCGTCTGAGGCCAGAGTCAATTTCTCCTACAAATGTTATCGCGAAAAAAATTTGGATCCGCACGACGACATATCATTGAAAAAAATATTTGTGTGAAATTACATGATTATGCTGGGTTTTTTCAACCCAACATAATATATTCTTATATATTTTCATAATTAAAAATATTCCACTGAACAGGCATGGCAAATTTTTGGAATTTTGAACGGATATTAAAGAGAAATAATTTTGTTTTAAAGTTCTGACAGTTCTGCTCTAAAAGAAATCCTAATGACAAAATAAGTTATTTTTAATATTCTTAATGTTACCGCTATAAAAATTTATTTTGTGAAATTAGCATCCTCAAAATTCATTAATGGATTTTTTTTCGAGTTTCATTCGTCAGAACTATTTATAAAATTAATAAGGAACTCTTCGGAGTGCACTTAGAATTTAAACAAAATTAGTTTTTTTGAAAAATGAGTGCCAACTTACAGAGGAATTGCACATACGAAAATGCTATAAAATAATGTTATAAATAAAATGGATGAATGCTTATAAAAACCAAGTTCTAATACTAAAATTACAAGTCATTTTTGCATAAAATAACTTTACGCTAATATGTATTTTTCCAGTTTTGAGAAATTAATTTCCATGTAAAAGTACATGAATTTTTTTCACACACACATATCTGCATTCTGACCCTTATACATATATAGGAATCGGAGGTCTGGCTAATATCACAGCCGAGAGACGTCAAAATCTCGCCCGTTCCAAAATAGCGACTCTCTCACTCTCTCAGTCATTCGACGATCATGACGCGGAATCAAAAATCAATCCGATCTCAGACTCAGAATCCAATCTCTCGCGACCACCCCCTCCAAAAAAAAATCAACTCTCGATACACAAATTAAATCCACAACGATACTTCGCGAAAAAAATAAGAACGATTTGTTTTCCTCGAAAATTACGCTTCGGGGAAGAAAAATCGCGCTGTATCTCTCTCTCTCGTGTACCGAAGGACGCGTACGCGGCTTTAAGCGCCATCGAGAGAGCAGCGCGGGGAAGGGGGGCGACACCGGGGGGGGGGGGAGAGAGAGAAGGTGGTGAGACGTGTGTCTGTTGCATATACGTGCGCCGCGCGATAGTAGTAAAAGAGAACCGAAGCGCGCTGCGCCGACCCCGTGACCAGGGACGAAGCGGAGCCGAGAGACGGCGAGCGGCGCGAGTGGTGGGGATGAGCGAGGGTGGTAGTGGGGGGGGGGGGGGGGGAGAACGACTCGGAACTCGTGTCGTAGCGGTACGACGCGCTCGGTCGGGTATCTCCGCGGTCGTGGCCCACACGCTCGGCCGGCGTCGGGCTCTCGCGATACGCTGCCTCTCGGCCGTCAGTCGTCCTCGGGCTTCGCTAGCGCGCGGACGTGTCGGGCGGGACCGGAGTCAGTCGATCATCTTGCTCGCGTATTGCACCGTGTTTGTGTATGTATGTATGTGTGAGAGTGTGTATAATACTCCATACATCGAGGACGAGATAATACAGTTGCTCCTCTACGCGAGGTTTTCTCCGAGAGTTTTTCCGACATACGTATATAAATACATACATATATATATTTATATATATATATATATATGTGTGTGCGTGAATTTTAGCAGACGTGTATATGTAGGTGTGTTTTGTACGTACGCGCGCCGTTCACGTGTGGGAGCGCGGCTGGTTAACGGTTAGCGCGTCTCTGACGTGTGTGAATTGTATATCGTATATACATATATAGATATATTATATATATATATATATTCGCAGTGACACATAGAGAGATACGTAGAACTTAAATATCTACGTATGTGTAGTATAAATACATTGCCCGAGGTGGACATCGTTTGCCGCGAGTTCTTTTTGTTTTCTTATTTTCCGTCCTTCGCGATCGCCGACTCGTGGTGCCGCGAATTTAACTAGCGCGCGAGAAGGAGATAAGAGAGTGTCGATTCGTCAACGTGGTCCAGCTCACGATCGAGAGGAATCCCCGCGACGACACACGCAGGAAAGAAGAACAAAGAACCGTCTCCTCTCCCGGCGGGAGAGCTCGATAAACTCTCTCTCTCCCGCTCGCTATCTTCGCACGGACGCTGACAACGTTTACGGACTCCTAGGACGAACAACGGGAGCGGCGGCGACTTGGTTTTCGTGTCTCGAGGTAAAGTGATTTTCAATGATGTCGGGAAATATGTTGGGAGAGAAAGAGAGAGAGAGAGATGTCAAGTTGAGCAACCTCCGGCCGCGACCGAGCGTCGTTTCCCTCTCTCTCCCCCTCCTCCCCCTGCCCGCCCCCCTCGCGGCGGAGGGGGCCTGACTAATGATCAACCGCGAGATATTACGGACTTTTTTCGCGTGTTTATACGGCCGCGAGCGAGGAAGAATAACAATTCTTTCCTCCGGCTTATCTTTTATTACTCGCGCTTAACATGTGTGTTTTAAATGGAATAATAGGAAATCGCGACGAGGGGGGCAAGGGGGGCATTTGTCGCCCTTGGAATTATTTAAACAAATTATTTTTGCGTATTTAATAAAAAAAATAATCTTTACGTATATGTATATTATGAATGGGAAAATAAGAAATCGCGATGAAGGGGGCAAGGGGGGCTTTGCCCCCCTTGGAATCGTTAAAAAAGTTTTTGCATATTTAATATAAAAAAATTAATTCGCGACGTTTACATATATATATATATGTATATTAAAAATAGAAAAATAGGAAATCGCGACGAGGGGGGCAAGGGGGGCATTTGTCGCCCTTGGAATTATTTAAACAAATTATTTTTGCGTATTTAATAAAAAAATAATCTTTACGTATATGTGTATTATGAATGGGAAAATAAGAAATCGCGATGAAGGGGGCAAGGGGGGCTTTGCCCCCCTTGGAATCGTTAAAAAAGTTTTTGCATATTTAATATAAAAAAATTAATTCACGACGTTTACATATATATATATATGTATATTAAAAATAGAAAAATAGGAAATCGCGACGAGGGGGGCAAGGGGGGCATTTGTCGCTCTTGGAATTATTTAAACAAATTATTTTTGCGTATTTAATAAAAAAAAATAATCTTTACGTATATGTGTATTATGAATGGGAAAATAAGAAATCGCGATGAAGGGGGCAAGGGGGGCTTTGCCCCCCTTGGAATCGTTAAAAAAGTTTTTGCATATTTAATATAAAAAAATTAATTCACGACGTTTACATATATATATATATGTATATTAAAAATAGAAAAATAGGAAATCGCGACGAGGGGGGCAAGGGGGGCATTTGTCGCTCTTGGAATTATTTAAACAAATTATTTTTGCATATTTAATAAAAAAAAATAATCTTTACGTATATGTGTATTATGAATGGGAAAATAAGAAATCGCGATGAAGGGGGCAAGGGGGGCTTTGCCCCCCTTGGAATCGTTAAAAAAGTTTTTGCATATTTAATATAAAAAAATTAATTCACGACGTTTACATATATATATGTATATTAAAAGTAGAAAAATAGGAAATCGCGACGAGGGGGGCAAGGGGGGCATTTGTCGCCCTTGGAATTATTTAAACAAATTATTTTTGCGTATTTAATAAAAAAAATAATCTTTACGTATATGTGTATTATGAATGGGAAAATAAGAAATCGCGATGAAGGGGGCAAGGGGGGCTTTGCCCCCCTTGGAATCGTTAAAACAGTTTTTGCATATTTAATATAAAAAAAATTATTCACGACGTTTACACATATATATATATATTAAAAATAGAAAAATAGGAAATCGCGACGAGGGGGGCAAGGGGGGCATTTGCCACTCTTGAAATTATTAAACAAATTATTTTTGCATATTTAATAAAAAAATAATCTTTACATATATGTATATTATGAATAAGAAAATAAGAAATCGCGACGAAGGGGGCAGGGGGGCTTTGCCCCCCTTGGAATCATTAAAACAGTTTTTGCATATTTAATATAAAAAAAATTAATTCACGACGTTTACACATATATATATATATATATTAAAAATAGAAAAATAGGAAATCGCGACGAGGGGGGCAAAAGGAGGCATTTGGCCCCCTTGAAATTATTAAAAAAAATTATTTTTGCATATTTAAAAAAAAAATAATTAAAAAAACTAAGAAAGATAAAAAAATAAGAAACAAAGAAAATTTTAATCATGCCCCCCGTGAAAAAAATCCTGCGGACGTCATTATGGTTATAATTATAATTTCCTCGATATCGAAATCGTTCTCTTCTCAAACGTGACGTCCAAGTGACACTCGGCGTATCTAATCGCGAGTCGCGCTGACGTTGGCCGAATCGCGCAAACCACCTGATCGCGAGGGGGAGGGAGGGGGAAGGGAATTCCGCGGCCTCTTTCGAGGACGCAGTTTTTCCTGTCGAGATATCGCGGAGATGTCGCGCTCTCTCTCTCTCTCTCTCTCTCTCTCTCTCTCTCGCGAGGATCGAAACTAAATAATTTTGACGTTCAGCGACGTTTCTAATAATATTTGAAGATGCGATGCGAATCTCTGATTGATTTCTTCGAAAAATAATTTCCTCGAAAATCGCTTTGTAACGTGTTGTCCTCCAAACTTGATTATTTAGTGATACACTGAAAAAAATCCGTGTACTTTTACATGGAAATTACTTGTTCAAAACTTTAATTATAACTGTAATTTTTTTTAAATTAAGATACATATTAATGTAAAATATAGATAAAATTACTATTTTTATACAAAAATCACTTGTAATTTTAAATTTAATATTTTTATTCTATTGGAACTTTCTATAAGCATATTTATCCATTCTATTTATAACATTTATACATTATTAGCATTGCCTATGTGCAATTCCATGTTTAGTTGGAATATTTTTAATCTTGAAAATACCTAAGAATATATATTTCATATGAAATTAGATATAATCTGTAATTTTCCATGTGGGTAGCAATATCGCATGATTATGTTGGGTCGAAAAAACCCCGCTTAATCATGCTAAAATATTTTTTTAGTGTAATTATTAATTCGCATTATTCACGGAAAATTTTTAGTTGTCGAGTCACTTTTTACATGTACAGAGTGTTTCAGAACTGGCGGAAAAGTTTTTAATGTCAGATTCCTGGTATAATTTGGAGACGATTTTTCCTTGGTAAAAATGTTGAGGAAGGCCATCATTTTCAGCCACGTTCCCAATTTTTGCTATTATATATTAAAATTTTGTTCAACATTCTGAAGAATTTAGATTAATGTTAGTTTCAAAAAAGGCTTTAAAATTATTAGTGTCTCGACATTTTCGGTGAGGAAAAATCGTCTCCGAATGATACCAGGAATCTGTCATTAAAAAATTTTCCCGCCAGTTCTGAAACACCCTGTATATATACGTACATGTATATCGTGAAATCAGTCCCGGACGTGTACAATCGATATGTATCGCTCTCTTGGCGGCGGTTTTGGATTGCGATCCGCAATCCGACAAGGACGGCTGTCGATGAACAACGTAATCCCGGAAATAACGTCTGCCAAAGTTTTCGACGTGTCAACGAAATAGAGAGAGAGAGAGGAATAGATGGAGAGGGATGCGTCGCGGCCGACAAAACCTCTGCAAATGTGTATCGTTGCAAATATCGACAATATCTATCGCGAAAGAACGGAACTCGAAACGTGTAACGAAGGTTTCCTCGTCGATGGTTTTACACTGTGTAAAAATGCTCATCCGTTTTCAACGGCGGTTAAAATTATGATTTATGAAGTGTTCTCGCCTTTTCGAGGGAGTTACATAAGTTACTTTGAAGATAATTTGAGAGCGCTTCGGAGTGGAATTTTATGGCACACAGGACTTTCGAACGCGGAACTTTTATGGACACTTTGTGTGCGCGGACACTTTTAGTGGTTCTCATCGAAATTACGCTCTCGAGAGAGTGAGAGGGATCGGAATCGGTTGTTCAAATGGATATTTTAAAAAAGAAATATAAATCGGCGATAGAAAATTGTCCTTTCCTCATTCTTTTTATTTTTCATGGCACTTTCAACAGTGCAAAAATTTGTCGGAGCGCATCAAGATGTTCGATGTGGCGTTGAAACGTTAATCTTCTTCTTTCTATAAAGAGAAAATCGATTTCTACTAACTTGTTTCAACCCTTCTGTCAATGAAACAGGGGTATCTGGGTATCCGAACTTTAAATGGATCGGAACTTTTTCTCCGCTTAAAATAAAATACAAAGGGTTCACTTTGCGTTCGGAAGTCTCCTGAAATGTAACGGGAAGGAATGTTAGATACTCATCAGCTGTTCTAAGTAGAAAAAAAATATTTGTACACTGTATAAAAATATGTCAAATTACATAAATAATAAATGTAAAATTACATGATAAGTAATGAAAAGGTAAACATTTCTATTATTTATCGTGTATAATTTTATACTTATTATTTATGTAATTTGACATATTTTTGTGTACCTAATATATTACATATTTTTCACAGTGTATAAGTTAGTTCGACAACGACGAATAATTCGATAAAATCTAACTCGCCAAAAGAGAGAGATTCATGGCAAAGAGAGAGAACCTGGGCTGCGCGATTTTGCGTCACCTTTGACCCGCCGAGCGCGAAACTCCGGACAAGATATCGCGATATTTAAACGCCACGCGGTTTTTGCGCGGCAACGAGCTTGGAAACTCGAATAAGGGTGCAAAGAGAGAGAGAGAGAGAGAGAGATAGAGACCCGATCGGTCAGTCAGAGTCGGTTCTTTGACAGTTTGCGAGGAACTCTCGGATACCTGGGCAGGTATTTATTTTGTCGTACGGTGTATATATGTGTGTGTATATATATACACGTACACAACGGGAAAGAGCCGTACTCTCTCGTGTAACACGTTGTTGAAGTGTGTCGGTTTACGATAAATCCGAAAACGCTCCGCGCGAACTCGGCGCGACGTGTTCGTTTTTTCTTTTTGGCAGATTTCGCAAATATTTGACGCGCCCGAATATGGGTTAGTTATTCGCGGAGAAAGAGCGAGACAGTTGTGCGAAATATTTCTCCCGGCGTTGTACGCGATCGTATGTCCAGATAATTCTTCAGACAATTTAAAAAATCGTAGACCAGTGTTTCTGAATCGAAATGGAAATTTTATTCTCCCCGCTAAAGGTGTCGTCATCAGTTTAAACCTCTTTACGGAGATGGA